CATGAGGCTACTGCTCTGGAGTATTTCTTCCTCCCGACCACTGATAACAGAAATGTAGAAATTTTCTGTGCAACTGAAAAAAAAAAACCCACCAAAAGCATTTATTTTCTTAAGAGTTTTAAGTATAACAAAATAATGTAGAACTATAAACAGCAATGTTCTTATTTATACTTGCCTGGCAAATCACACGGCAAATAAAATACTATTCATATATATATTGTTATGTTTTGAGACTCTTCAAAATTTTTTCCTGATATATACAATTACGTTTTTAAAAACCCATCAAATATTTTATTAAAAAAATGAGAGTAGTGGAATATCAGGCCATTCCAAATGTAGTATCTTCCATGCAACTGTGATCTGGTCTTTTGCTTCTATGACCTGTTAAGCATAACACAAACTATTTTTGAGACGATGTCTTCTTCATTCAGCACATGGTACTAACAATGTTCTTTACTAGGCAGTTGTTTAATTTTTCTTTTTATCCTCTGGAAAGACTTTTAAATGAGGTTCTCAATGCAATACCGTTTGATATTAATAAGATCTTCACTCTACAAGGCGATTAGTTTTGCTCCCACACTTTACAGAAAGACCAAATGTCAAACTTTTCAACTTATTGGAAGCTTACAGGATAGCGATAGGAAATATGTTACCATCACAGAAGCTCTTCAATTCCAAACGTATGTGATTCCAAGTAATACGTCAGTTACGTGCACCAATTCTACTGCAGCACCCTGGGCCCTAGCTCAGCTTTGTGCTGTACCACCATGCCATACTGTGCTTTCCCCTCTGCCATTCCCCGTACTGGGTTGCTCACCATCCTTCCCAGTGCCTGAAGGCGTCATTTTCACGGCTTTTCCTCTTCAGCCATGCAGAGAGAAAAGGGTCAGTGTTCCTTAGTTTTACGTATGGATGTCAGTAGTTTCTGGCAATACAACGGATGAAGTGCTGGGACAGACTTCCAAGAGCCCAGTGAGCTTCCATCAGAGGAGGCGACCCTAAAAGTCTCTCCGAACTCTAACCAACAAATTTCCTATCCACAAATTCAAACATCGATTCCTTATTTTTCACTAATTCCCTTCAAAAGCCCCCTTGCGAAGTGACTCTCTCCAACAAGAAAGGCAGTAAGTGTATCAAAGCTTTATTGATTCTGTTCTCAAGAGGAGGCCTAGGAAAGCACTGGAGCGGTGTGAATCAACTTCAGCCTCTTCAGGAATTAGGCACATTGTATCATACTCCTCTACAGTTTGTACAACCAATAACCTGAACACAAAAAATTCTAACAATGAAGGAATTCAACATCACTTTTTAATCTCTCTAAACATCTGAAAACTAAAATTTCACAGAATACCAGCTGCTTCAAGACTACACACTGTAGACTATGTACATAAAAGGCATAACTAGTTCCTGTAAGAAAAAGTATACATGCTTCATGAAAAGACATTTTTACAACAGTGCAAATACTAAAATATTTAAGTATTTGAATCACCTTTAACAGTTCTTTATCATCAGAGAAAATACAAAATCACCTGAAAGTACTTCAGAAGTTGAACCTCACCTAACCAAGCACTACGCATTTTACAATAAATTGCAATACTGTAGGTTTTCTTGCAGTAGGAAAAATCCTACAAACAATAGTCGAATGACTTACCATCATGTTATAGCCTTCCTCCACATCAACAGGCTCACTTAGTACATTTTTGGCTGACCCCATTGAGTTCTCATACCTGTGTCAAAATAAATGCAACTAGTCAATTTTACTTAAACCATTTCTAAAATTTATCTTAATTCTAAGCAGCTTTTACATCTCGTACACCCGAGGAACACAATAAAACTACCCTCTGAAAACCTTATCAAGTATTTGCATTGCTCCTTATTAAAAGTAGCCAAAGGCCCAATAAAAAAAAACATAGAACAACCCCACAAAACAGTTTAAATGTCCATGTAATAAGACAGCAAACAGTACAAAGAACACTGTGAAGACCTAATAGAAGTGAACTTTATGGACTGCTCTAGAATTGGGAAAGGCAACAAGAATAATTGAACGCATGGAAAATCTTTCCTGTGATAGAAGATTGGGCAAGTTGGTCATTAATACAGAAAAAAAAAATGAATCAGGGACATATTGAAAATCTGTATCAGATAACTAGTGGTAAACCAAAAAAAAAAAAGATGGAAAACTTCTGTTATCTTTAAAAAAAAAAAAAAAGTGACACTCCTTGTACAAAAAAAGTGACACTCCTTGTACAAGTCAACTCTGGAAAAGTAAATATTTGCATGCAGTACTGAACTACAGAACCATTGCCACAAATACAGAAGTACAACACGGGGATGAACGTTTATAGGTTTATTAAGAATTTCCAGAACTGTTACAACAGTTCTAAAATAAAATTAAACCCCTGGCTTCATGGCTGAAATAAGTTCCTAGTGGCTATCGATTAGAGCGCAAAACACTCCTGCAACAGTTCTTACGTCTTCTTCTGAAGGATCAGCTGCGAAACAGAAGTTAGGGACACTTCTAAACTCTCAGAAATTACACAGCAGAACAAGATTAGATTTGTGTCTCATCTGCAGAGGGATTATGCTAGTTTTTAATCATTAATGATACTGCTGTTCCCTCACTCTCAGATTACATCTTCCACTCCTGTAAACTGCCTATTTTTCTACCAGTAAATTGCTCAGAACCTAGGTAATCAATCAGCCAGTCGTTAGATTTGTCTCCTATTTGCTTGTATTCTTTACGACAACCTACCGAGCTTATGAAAACACTGAAACACTTTGCAGTTGCCTGAAGGAAGCTGAACTTTTTAAAACAAAGTCTAATTGTACTTCAGCATTACTTAAGACATCAGGATAGGCCCAGCGCAAGGAGGAGCCTCCCGACACTGAGGTAACTCGGAAACCTGTGCTTTTGCCCACAAAACTTTAACTTGGTTATAATCACAGTACAACAAAAGCCCATCAAAACGAGGAAAAAATAAAAGGGGCCTAAAGAGTTTCACAGTACTGCAAGGTACTCGGAAAACGTTCAGGAGCAAGAATCTGTGATTGAGTAAAGCCTGCCGAGAAGGCAAACCCTAGCGCCGGGCCCGCTGCAGAGCCACGACCCTGCGGCCGCGGGGCCGGGCCCT